GCTGTTGCTGATGATGCTGATGATGATGCTGCTGATGATGATGAGGAGGATGATGAGGATGAGGATGAGGATGAGGACGATGAGGATGAGAATGAGGATGAGGATGAGGATGAGGATGATGCTGGTGATGATGATGATGCTGATGGTGATGATGATAATGACGATGATGATGATGATGATGATGATGATGATGATGCTGATGATGCTGATGGTGACGATGATGATGCTGATGCTGATGCTCATGATGACGATGATGATGATGATGATGATGATGATTATGATGATGATGATGATGATGATGATGCTGATTCTGATGATGATGATGATGCTGATGATGCTGATGCTGATGAAGATGCTGCTGATGATGATGATGATGATGATGATGCTGACGATGATGATGATGATGATGATGATGATGATGATGATGATGATGAGGATGAGGATGATGAGGATGTTGATGATGATGATGCTGCTGCTGGTGGTGGTGATGATGATGATGATGATGATGAAGATGATGATGATGATGATGATGATGATGATGATGATGATGATGATGATGATGATGATGATGATGATGGCAATGATGCTGCTGCTGATGATGATGATGGTTGCTGTGATGGTGGTGTTGTTGCTGCTGCTGCTATGTTTGTTGTTGTTGTTGCTGTTGTTGATGCCGCTGCTGTTTTTGTGGTTTGTTCGTAGCAACGCAAGTGCCGGCCCCAGTTGTTGTTGAGGTCTTGGCCTTCTTGGAACATACAGCTAATAGCTTTTAAGGGTAGAGAAGGGCTTGGGGGGCGCGAGCTCGCCATATGGGGCCGGGAGGGGCGTATGCACTTGGGCGAGGTCCCCAAACAGGCGCCCCAGGGCCTGATGAGGCGTTGGCTCACAAGGAGCGCAGGCGACCAACAAATCTTGAGGATGCGGAGAGATCTTCGCGGATTCTGATAGGGCCATTGCACCTGAGCAGGCACCCCAGGGCCGAGTGAGGCGTGGGCGTGCGGGGGCGCGCGGGCGACAAACAAGTCTTGAGGAATCCAGAGGGCCTCAGAGAGTCCTTAGGAAGTCCTCAGGAGTCCTTGGAAATCCAAAGGGATTCCCAAGGAGTCCTCACGAGCCCTCAGGGATCCCGCAGGATCCCCTACGGCTCCTCCGGACTCTTGAGGACTCCCCAGGGAACCCTCAGGAGTCGTGAGGAGTCCTCACGGATCGTTCAGGAGTCCTGAGTAGTCCTCAGGGATTTCTCAGGACCCCGTACAAGTCTTCAGGATTCTTGGCAAGTTTTCAGGGATTTGTCAGCAACCGCACGGGTTCCTTAGGGATTCCCCAGCAGTCCTGAGGAGTCCTTACTGTCCTCTCAGAGTCCTATTCATTAGGGCTTTCTCGGGGATTCCTACGGGTTCTGGAGGATCCCTCGGATTCCTGAGGAGCCCTGAGGAATCCTGAGGAGTCCTCAGGGACTCCTCAGGGATCCCTCGCGAGCCCGTAGGATCGCCACGGAGTCCTGCGAGATCCCTCAGGGATTCCTCACGGAGTCCTCAGGATCCCGACGGATTCCCGAGGAGTCCTGCAGAGTCCTGAGGACTTCTCACGGACACCTCCGGATTTCTCAGGAAAGTCCTCAGGATGCTCCAGGGAATTCTCAGGATGCTGCAGGCACTCCGCAGGGTTTCTGAGGACTCCTCTGGGTCCCTCAGGGTTCCGAAAGAGTCTTAGGAATCCAGGTGGTGCCCTGAGGAGTCTTCAGGATTCCTGAGGCTTCCTATGGATCCCCACAGATCTCTTTGTCGTGCTGTAAGCGGTGTCGTGGCAAGACTGTAGACGGCCGTTGGCGTTCCGACGCTGTCGAATAACTTCAAGCGCATCTTCAGTGACACCCGCTTGTTGACGAAAGCTGTCTTGAACAAACGCCGTTTTGACCATGCGCACTGCGTCCGATATTCTAGATTGCATGCGCCTCGTTCTCTGAGATCTCCGTGGAAACGTTCAACATCACCAGAAGACTACGACCGTCGTAACGCCAACGGCCGTCTACAGTCTTACCACGACACCGCTTACATCACGAGAAAGAGGAACAATAGCCAGCGTACGGGCGCAAATGTTACGACGGATTGCTGGATTTCGTAAAGCTGATCAAGAATCTTGGGAGGAGGCTGGGCATCAATGCAAACGCAGAGCGGAAAGAGCAATGGCAATTCTTCACGCTTCGCGTATCCCCACCAGCCCATCTCAAAACAGCAACTCTAGCGAAGCATGCCGACAGTCGTGTTTTTCAGGCGTGTTTCCGCCTGCCCCCGCATATCTCCCCTGTTCCTCCTTCCTCCCGCCTCCTTGTACATCCTCCTTGTGGTGGGAGCGGGAGAAGGACGAGGCGGAGGAGGAGGGAGAGAAAGCGCTCCTCGTGGTTTGAGTCGTTTGGGGTTTCTCGTCCTGGTGTGAGTCGTTCGGGCCCTTCTTCCTGGTGTGAGTCGTTCGGGCTCTTCGTGGTGTGAGTCGTTCGGGC